GTTGACAAGGTGGTGACCAAAGGTTGGACTTGATGATCTCAGAGGTCTTTTCCAACTCACATGATTCTGTGATCTCAGTGGTAAATATATTATATATTGTGCTGCACTGGATACAATTACACTTGCTATGAAAAAAGAGAAATTCTCAGCACTGACTGTTCACTATGTTCATGAAGTACAGGTGAAGTGCAACTGTAGGAAAACTCTAACATTGAAATATTGTTGTTCTTACTGCATCCCTTGAAATCTGTTGCCTCACCCTTTGTACATCACATTGTTGATGTACAGTAGACTATTGATATTTTTTAATATAATATTTCTTATTATTTAAAACACAGTTAATGTTCTGTAAGGAATCTAACAATCCTAAAGACTAATCTACTCCTGCATCATTATTGTTTACAGATTTCAGCAGTTGCTTTAGAGACATTTAAAAAGTAGTATTTAGGTCATCCAGCCTTAAAAGCTGTCCTTGGTTTAAAGGTTCATGACACAATGCAGAAAGATAAGCTGTTATTTTCAAGATTACTGCTCGCATTAGTTGGGATTAAATGATTAATCAATTTATCTGAAGAAAATTCAATGTGGCTAGCCTTTTTCACCATTTTCCAGCAAAGAAGCAAGATGTGCCTCTGGAGAGCTATATCTCATATATAATAAAATAAAATTTCAAAGCATGTAACTAAGTTTTTCATATTATCTTCAGCAATTACAATATTCTAGCACAAAATCATGAATCTACTCATGATTACTATGCAAGACTTGGTTAATGATCTTCAAATATATGTTGGTTTTCTCTGAAAAATACTAGTATATCCCTCTCATATACAACCATGGCTTTTTGAGTGGCTGAAACAATATTTTTCTCATTGTTCTTCCCCAAATAGCTAATTACAGCCCCAATGCTGTGTATAATCCACTTTTTTTAACTGTGTTGACTATAAGCAGTGTATTTTAATTGCCCAGAGCTAATGTGCTTATAGTCTTAAATCCCCCTTACTGTTCACAGAAACCAAGCAGACACTGAAAGGATCAACAGATGGGAGTGTTCAGCTCTGGCTGCTGTTGGAAGGGCGAAGAAAAAGATTATTATGTAGTTTCTTCATAAAAATAGGCTGGATTCTTTTAGAAAAGGAGGGGTCAGCCACAGCAGGATCATTTACATTGCAGTGTGGTCTCCTGAGAAATCCTGCCCCGAGTTTGGGACTGCTGCAGCACTTTCACTTCTCGCTTTTATTTGCTCAATGTGAAATCTTATGGATGTGCTGACTGTGCTTAAGGATGTCATACAGAAAAGGAACCTCCCTTAATCTGACACACGTAGTGTCACTTTTACAAACATTGCAAATTATTGCATGAAGCAGCAAAAAAGAATGAGTGTCTGTGTGTGTCACTTCTGCTGGGAGGGACCAGTGAGTTTAGAAATCATGCTTGTTTTACTGTGAATCATAACTCCTGACTCACTGCCCCAACAACATATGGGTCAGCCTCACAGCCTGGAAATCGGACAGTAGGATTAGCCTTTGCAACAGGAGACTGTAGGTTGCTGTAAACTTCTCTCTGAAGTGGCTGAGCTTCTCAGCTTCTGCTGGACATTGTGCATGGCTGGTATAACTGAGAAAATCTTTGGAAGTACCAATGAACTAAGGACTTTAACACCTAGACAGGTGCATAATCCTGAGACTTTCATGTACCTAAACAGCCTAAACATTTCAAGGCCTGATTTTATTTGTGATGGCATAGAGAGGGTACCCATGTGGTTAAGGAGAATCAAGAATTTCACAGCTTATGCTAACTAGGCAGTGCTGGCAGGGAAAACACAAACCCTTAGCTCCCTTGGCCTATCACCCCTTGCTGTTTCTGCAGTCTTCTATAGGAAAAGCCATCATCCCCACATTTAAGCTCTGGAAGCTAAGGTAGATGGTGTGAGTTTACCAAAGGCTCCAAGTGTCTTTCAGACACAGAATGAGACTGAGGGAGCTCTTTGTTGTTTATTCCGGATTGTCTCTCATGTTACTGACCTATTATTACTGACACACTCATCTCTGTTGCCAGGGTTACACTGCAGCTTGTTCAGCAGGAACAAACTGGATGGAGGTCCTTCTGGCCTTTACTTGCTCTCAATGACTGCCTAAGGGTATTGCACTATGCAACTGGTCCAGAGCCCCCTTGAGGATGCATGAAGTGCAATGGCCCTTTCATTATAGATCCCAACCTTAAGGGAGTGACTGTAAATAAATTCCCATCTTTTGAGAAAGGTATTCACAGTTATTCAATCCCAATGGCCTGTTTTCATGGTCAAGGATATAGCCAAGTCTGTAATACAGTTGACAGGAAATTTTAATGATGAGAATACAGGAGCTATCATTGTCAAGATGTCTTTGCCTCTTTGTCACATCCCTGAAGTAATGAATAACTCAGGGACACTGAGCTGAGATAGACTTGACATTTTTCTACTTCTCTGAGCCCTGTATCATATCAGGAATCATGCAGCCTTCATGCAAGGCTGTAAAGGCATGAAGGGAAACTCTGAAGGGCAAATTTCATATCTCTCTCTCTCTCTCTCTGTATACATATACTTCTCCATACGTAGCAGTGACCTGCCTTGGAACCAGTTATGCTAGTTTTCCACCATCAGACTGCTTCCCTTAGCAATGTATGTAGAATAAGGAAAGTATATATGCATAATTATTTACAAATACCATATACAGTCAAGATGATCTGCTCAGTGCCTTCCTGTCAGAAATGCGGAGATTACTGAGAAGAAATCAAGAGGAAACAGCATAGCATAAAAAAAAAAATAAAAAAATCTCCAGTATTCTTCTAGGAAGACTAATTATAAGGGAGGGCTAAGCAAGATGCTATGGCTTGATGCTCCTACATCTGAGGTCAGGATCAAATGGGATAGTAAAAGATAAAAAGAAAAAACCCTCCAGCCTTTTTCAAGGGATTGGGTTGGTTGTCATGAGTTAGTGAGGACTCCTGATGAATGCTGAAAGGCAGGCAAGAAAAAAACCATGCACCTATGAATTACAGCAGGCTAGATATTTCTCCTAATTCAGAGACAGCTTCACTGAAGAAACCCTAAAATGTCTGTTGAAAGATGTCCTGATTATTTTACATCTTTCAGTGAATAAGTAATACTCTTGTTTCGAAGGAGCTAGGTCTGAGCTACTTTAATTATCCACTACCACTGGCTCCTGTAATAGGCCTGGCTTTCCAGAGTTAAAATAGATATATAGACAGCAAACAGGTTGACTGCAGCAGTCAGATCCAATCTCAGAGTAAGAGGACTACCTAGATCCACCTGAGGGGGACAACATGGAGAAATACCTATTCTCACAGGGCATGCTTAGGAAAGTCTAAACCACCACATCTACAAGCATGAGCTAGGGAATTGTTCATTTAGGGCAGGTTTTCCCTTCTTTCTTGCAGCTGCTCATCATTAAGGTCAAAGATCTGAATGCCATCCTGACCAACCCTTCCTTCTGGGTGAGATATAAAATTATGATCTAAATCAGGACTAATATCCATATTGCATAGTTTGATTCTATGGCTTCAATAGAAAAAGTCAAATCTCCCTTGAACTCTCTGACTTCAAGAGATTCTGTAGCCTTAGTAGAATTCTTTACTGCTTGGATATACCTTCCAAATTAAAATCCTCGTCCTGTTCCATGCTAAGATTCCACAGCTCTCGTACACTTCATCAAAAACTACAGAGTATAGAAACAATGCTTTCTTGTGTGACTGCAAAGCACAATCCAAACTACGAAAACCAAGTCACACTTTCAACAAATCTCAGATTATTCCTAATAAACAGGCACAGTCCTGTTGTAAACACAGCCAGCCATTTGCACATGTTTAATTATAGAATATGTCTACATAATTTAATAGGATAATTACTGTTATTGTACTCATCCTGGGAGTTATTTTTGTAAGGTAAGAGTCAGGAGAGCTGACTGAGATCCTGGAAGTGGAAGGAGCCAGGCAACAAAGAGGTTTACCACAAAAACACAAGAGAACGGTTCCTGTGTTGACCCTGGAACTCAGTTGAAGGCAACTGCACAGCAGAATCAGGACTCTGCAGAAAGAAGTGTTCTCTCTGCAGCCGGCATTCTGACAGAAACCACCACAGCCTCTCAGTGCACCTGCCTGATGCAAACTGCTGACATAGCCTGATCTCTGTGTGACTGTGGAAGAGCCAGAGCTTGTTTATGTGTGTGATGGAGTCAGTCTCTGGCCTGCCCAGGGGCTGCCCAGCTGGGCCAAGGTCTGCAGCACAGGCCAAGGACAGTCTCAGACCCACACCTGTGATATACCCCATTAGTTTTAGAAGGGTCGCACTTGCTTACACATGGCCTGAGGTAGGTCTCAAGCCGTAACAGCAGGTTAGCTGAATTGATTGGACTTAGTCACAGCAATCAGTTTTAGAAGAACATTTTGGGCGGCTTTTAACGGACAACAAAAGATTCTGCTAGCAGAAAAATATTTAGTGTCACATACTAACTGGTCTGCACTGCTGTTTGTGACCAACAGAGCCCATTCCTTGGTGGGGGGCTCCTGACCAGCCGCTTTCCTCGGCAGGTGGCTGCTGGCTCTGCTCCCGCACAGGGCGCTGGCCGGCCGCCAGCGTGCAGAATCACAGAATCAATTAGCTTGGAAAAGACCTCTGAGATCATCGAGTCCAACCTATGAACCGAGCACCACCGTGTCAAACTGATCATGGCACCGAGTGCCACGTCCAGTCTTTCCTTAAACACCTCCAGGGGCGCCGACTCCACCACTTCCCTGGGCAGTTCGTTGCAATGCCTAATCACCCTGTGGCATTTTATCCGGCCTCCCGTCTCCCCACACCCCAACCGCGACCCCACGGGAACCCCTCTCCCGTCACCGCCGAGGACTCGGAGCAGCCCCCGAGCGCTCCCCCGCCCCGGGCCCCGCGCACGCGCGCCCCGCGGGATCCGTCCCCGCGCGCTGTAAACAAACAGCGGGCGGCCCCGCGCAGGCGCAGTGGAGCCGCCGCAGCTGCGCAGGGAAGCGTCGGAGGGTCGGGGCAGGTCCGGGGGCGCCGCCGGGATGGACGAGGACGTGCTGACCACCCTCAAGATCCTCATCATCGGAGAGAGCGGCGTCGGCAAGTCCAGGTGAGGGGGCGTCCGCCTCACTCAGCCTCTCCTGACCGCCCGGGCCCGGCCTAAGCCCCGCGTCGGACGGCGCCGGCTGGGCGCGGCCTGCGCTGCGCCGAGCGGGGCCCGCGGGGGGAGCGCCCGCGCCCCTTCCCGGCCGGCCCGCCGGCAGGACAGGGGTTATCCCTGCTTCCTCCGCAGCCGCCGACCCTGGTGTCTGCCGGGCCCAGCTGGAAACAGAGGCGCGGCGGAGGCTCTGCCGGCCCGGCCAGGGGCAGCTGGGCCGCCCTGTGCCCAGGGCACCGTTGTTTCCTGGGGAGATGGGTGCCCTTGTGCATCTCCATGGCGCCTTGGGGTTAATATCTAGTCCATAATGTTTACATACAGAGTCACAAGTGACCCAGCACTGGATGCGTGCGGGGGAGCATGGGGAGGCAGCAGAGTAGTTCGACCACAGGTTACAAGGGATGTAAATGTAGGGCATCTGGGAATGTGCCACACCGTAATTTTAGATTTGGTATTTTTATGGCAATAGTCTTGGTCTTCTACCGTGACCCTAAAGTACATAGAAATTACTGATTAGAAAAAAACCCCCGTATTTGCTAAAAATTTGTCAATTACTCATTTGAGGTAGCTGCTGAGTTGATAATTAGTGCAGTAGGCCTCTAGTGACAGACAGGATCTGAGCAAATTTCTTGTTGTTGAGGTCATCTCTTATATATGAGTGGCCATATGGAAGAATTTTTCCTGAGGCATATAAAACGCACAGTGGTTTTGTTTACCTATTTATATACTTGTTTCTTCACATTGGAAAACTTGTTAAGAGAGGCATTATGTAGAGGAAATAAAATTGCTATTAAAAGACAACACTGCAATTGTTCAGGTACAGGAACTTAATATTGAACTGGTCCTGAATTTGTGCCCCTTACCTGTTACTTGACTAGGGAAGATCAGATGCTAAACTGGTACTAGCACAGTGTAGTAAATGGCTGGAGTCCTGACTTCTGAACAAATTCTGTCTTAAACCTGGTCCCTGTGAGTGTGCTGGACTTTGTAGAAGATGATAGCTACATATGAAAGAAAGATGGGAATGGTAGAAGTTGGCTGTGCTTGGCATGCAGGACAGGTAAAATGATGATTTTATTCTAGTGGTAGTATAATGTTTCCACATTCTGTCTGTTTTGAATGAAACTAGTTCTGGTTGTAACTAGGAATAGCTGCTTTTAAATAGCATCCTGATACAACCATTGGAAGGTACTGGTAAAAACCTGTATGCTATGATCTATTTTAATTATTCTTTGGTAAATAAAGCTACCATTTGGTTTTGGGGTTCAGGAGTAGGTGGGAAAAAAGGGTTAACTTTAGAGTTGCCACCCAGTGTCATTGAAATAAAGGAATTTCAGTAGTCATTTTTTTTGTCAGTGCAGGACTGTGTCCAGAGGCTAAAAAGCGCTTGACCGCTGAATTCACATGCAAAAAGAGGAAAGAGGAGTAAAGAACAGGGTGTGGGGGGGAAGACCAGAAAGTAAATAAGGTTTTGTGTCCAGCCTGGGAATGAGTAGAAGCTGCTGGGTCATAGCAAACAGCTGCCTGCCACGTGGTTATACGCGCTTGCCACAGATGCCTAAGTCTGGTAATTTTAGAAACTATGCTGAGAATCTGTCTCTTGCAAAAATATTTACATTTGGCACAAGTAGAGTGGCATTATGGGCAATTTTTTAAGGCACCCTACACTACTACAGTGTGATGTGCCATTAAATCTTAGTTGTAACTACTTTTCTATTGGTAGCAAACATGCTCATCAGGATAGGGGGAAATGTGTGTGTGGAAGCCCTTATATACAAAAAGATACAAAATCATAAAACAGTGGTGAGCTAATTCTACTCTTCAACTTCTGTGTCGTTATTTCTGGTGGGTGTTGTCCTTACTGTTCCCCTGTGTGCCCAATTCAAGGAGTTATTTCTGGGATGAAAAGCTGACTTGGAATTTTTTTCTCAAGCTTACAGAAATACTGTGAGGCAATAGTGAAACAAAACAAAAAAAGTACTACTTTTGTACTGAATTCTGGGAGAAGAAGAAGAATAGAGTAATGTAGAGGTAAAATGCTTTGAGAAGCCAATCGTGACTGTTCAGGCAACTGATTAGACACCTTGTGTGGTACTTTGTTTTCAAAGGGGCATACTTGGTAACACATGCAGTGAGGAGTTGAGGGCTCAGGGAGCAGAGCATGTCTGCTGTATTCTTTCCGTGTTCCCTTCTTTTTTTCCGTAATTTCTCTCCTACGAGAGACAATGTTTAGCTATGACATCTTGCTGTTCCTTTCAGACTTGTGATTTGTAGGCTTCCAGCAAGCTATGAGTATGCTGCAGTAATAGTATCTCTTATTTTTCTTTCCTCCCTATCAGCCTTCTGCTGCGGTTCACGGATGATACATTCGACCCAGAACTTGCAGCAACAATTGGTAAGTATGTACTGATACTACCTTAGAAAAATTCATACCAGTTTCAACGGAGAACTGTAGTTTATTCAGACATGCCTGATGTGTAGTGAAGTTCAGACATGTCTGCCTTTCTGTGATGCAGGGATGACGTGGACACAGTTTTAGTATGTCATGCTCATTGGTGTAGGGAATTGAATATACTGGCCTGTAGTTAATTGAATATACTGGCCTGTAGT